CTTGTCGCTCAGTGTTCTTCACAATAACCCAAAATCCATACTAAATGAAACTCGAAGATCGAGGCAAGCTATTAATAACTTACATCTGAGAGTTTTAGAATACAATAATGATAAAATAGGGTTAAAAGTTGATATGAACCCTCTGGATGAGTGGACGATTTGGTGGTCGTTGAGGACAAGTAATAGCACAAGTACTGTAATGAATGAAGAAAAACATTGATGCAAGAGAAACTAAGTTGGGATAGGAAATGAACAGCTATCTAATGATAGGACGTTTAGAACTTTAATTAGGAAAATAAATTAACTGAAAATAAAGGTCATAAAAATTTCAAATAAGTTCGCCGAGGTCTAAACATTCAGGCAACTTTGTCCATATAATTTATCTAAGAATAAAGGCATCTGTCTTGAGATGATGAGTAAGATTTGCTGTTCAGATAGACAATTTTTGTGGAGTTTCGCCCTCTTAGCTGGATAGCTTAATCTTGAAGCTTAAATTATTTTCTGAACAATACCATAGGCACGAACTTCACCAAATCAACTGCCTACAAACTTTATTCAGAACGCAGGAATATACCGCAGGATATTACAGTGAGGAAAAATGAGGGAAAGAACAGCTATTTACTCAGCTTCGCCAAAAAATATAAATCCAACTAACCAGCAGAAATGAAACCAAAGATGAAAATCAAAGAATGAATGATTCTACCAAATTTAGAAGACAAATAACGGGATTATTCAAGCCATTTAGAACAAATCTAACGCATAAATCGGCAAAATCTCTTTGGTCAATCTTATTCAAACCAAGGGATAAAATAACGAAAGAAAACCGAACATCATCCACAATAAGCTGTTGCAAACTCTACATTCGACAAAGTGGACGCCATCTTCATTTTTACATGCATGAACATCATTTAGTGGTCAAAAGCCAGGAAAGATCTAGGCTTATATCAAAGCATATGGAGAATTGTAAACGCACATTCGACTGGAGAAATGTTGGAAACTTTGGTGGAAGGAATACTACAAACACTCGGGAATTGTTAAAAGCTTGTCACTTAAGTCAATCAGCAGTCAACAAATAGATCGAAATCAATTCAATCTATCAGAAGATTCATGGATAAATATAAGATCAGCAATAAGATCAGAAAGCGATACAGTCCAAATAAAAAAGCAGTTAATGACAGGTTAAAGATCAATAATAAGCAGTCAAATCGAGGTCAACAGGACAAGCTCTTAGTCAAATAAGGGGGAAATTCAAATACACCACTCGGTTATAGATTTTATTTGACATGTGTTGTGATTACCAGTAACAGTTTTCATTTTTTGTTAACTTTGTTCCTTCTTTTGTTCAATCTAACATCAAACTAAAATGTAATAATTTACTGTCGTATGTTTTGGGCAGCATATGTGTCATACCAAAGAATTTCAGGTGACGTTATACCGAATTACGGTTCAAAAGCTTAAACATGTACCTTTTAACCACCAAACATATCGGTCTTTATTAACTACGACACCCTTATATGTTTAAACTGCTTAGTAATAAAACAGAGTTTTAAGGGAATATTCGATTTATTTTTGAGTTAGTTGGTCCTTCACATGAATGGGAGGCAAAACTACGACATGGACTCAGATAACCTAAACCGTAAAGGCAGGTGAACACCGGGTGGTTGAATTAACTGTCTGTCATTAGAGACTTCATGACGGGAGTTGAGAATATTCTTTGTAGCATAGATCCAGTAATTCATTATATTTCTGTTAGTCCTAGAGTTGATACGATTTTAGATATTTCACTTTGCTTGTTTCGACCGTGTTGCTGATTATTTTCAGTTTCCAACTGTTGAATTTTATTCTTTAACATAATGATAATTGTAGCGCTTCAGGCTCAAAAACGTGTGTCGTATTGCATGCCACTTAATTTTACCAATAAGAAAGCATTTGACATATATTACCTTTTCACAATATGCCTTATATCTTTTAGGACACCCTAGTATGAATAGTGAGAGAAATGAGTAGTTGTGTGACCATCAACTTACTTTTGGATCACATATTACTGACTGCTGATTTAGATGTACACTGACGAGATTTTCTGGTGCATTTGACTTAAAAAGTTTCAAATAGGCTTTTGGGAAGCTTGATCTATTTTCTTTAAAAGTAGAAACGATAAGAAGATACAACAAAGTAGTGAATTCGCAGTTTAAAAGCTTAGTTCAATCAACAACGATAATATTTGACCAGATAGTCATTTATCAAAAGACAATTATTCATTTTAGGTAGCGTACGTCTAAGCAACATCGAAAACTATCAAAATTTAAAGCATTTATGAAACAGTATGGTTCTAAAGGTGGAACTTACGCTTCTAGGACGATTTTAAAATTAGTTTTGAAGAGACCATAAATAAAACACGCTTGAAACATGTTTTAACAAGATCACAGTAATGAAAAGTAATCTAAGAGATTCATTTATGCCTTCCTACGCGAGTCTTCTTAGCTTACTGTAGTTAAAAAAACACCTTCACACTACATTTTAACAAAACAGTTGACAACATTTGAAAATAGGTTTTCTTTAAAGGTTAAGAAATCGAAAAACCACTAGAGGTTCAAATTTTATAAAAAAAAGTGTACAGTGCCACAGTGACGTTCGTTCCCTTCAAAACGTAACATAAGCTAAGCATCTTAAAGTATTGGTTCCAAAATATTAAGAGATAGATAAAAAATGGAACTTATTTTGGAAAGCAAAACACTGATGGCAAGATCATCTACAGAAAATTACTAATATCAAACTAAAAAATCAGTTACATGGAAAGTATTTTGAAACAGCTTAAGATACAAAATCAGTGACATATCTAACTCACAGCCCACATTAATATAACACTTATTCGCATTACGAATAGTCGGAATTTGATGCGAAAAACAAGTGAAATAAGTAACTCATTTAGTACAGAAGTATATGATAAGCTTCGAACAACAAATTACACAAAGACTGATGAGAATACTGTAGCACCAACATCAAAATGAATGTCCTACATTAAACTCAGCATTTGTGAATAATCAAAATGAAGAGGAAAAACCATATTCTATGACTTTGTATAGAATATTGGAGCATGGAGAAACAGACACGGTAACAATAGTAATATCTTATTACAAGCGAAGTGAAGTTCTGTAATATGCACTAGTCAAACCGATATTAATTTAAACTGCTGCACAATAAATTGAATGCGCTCACGTTAAGTGAAATATCATAATGATTTAGCAATCTAAAGCAGCAACACCCACAAAATTATAAAGATAACCTTGTCGCTCAGTGTTCTTCACAATAACCCAAAATCCATACTAAATGAAACTCGAAGATCGAGGCAAGCTATTAATAACTTACATCTGAGAGTTTTAGAATACAATAATGATAAAATAGGGTTAAAAGTTGATATGAACCCTCTGGATGAGTGGACGATTTGGTGGTCGTTGAGGACAAGTAATAGCACAAGTACTGTAATGCACATCGTTTGCATAATTTAATCGGAAATCAAATCCATTTACATAACATTGGTAACTGTAAGGATTTACGGGTCACAGTAAACGGTGGTCTCAAATTTAAGGGTGATAACAAAGCAGCAGGTGCTTAAGACTTGCGGATTTTTTGGGGACCTTTCAAAGCTATTTTGAAGACTAGACAGGAATACCTGTTATATCTTGTCGCCCACCACGTTCAGAATACGAAAGTAAAGCGAGGAATTCTAGTATGAAATGTGAAACGTACGTGTTGGAATGAGCTCAGAGGGTTGTAAATACAAGGATAACCTAAAATACCTCAGCTTTTCTCACCGATCCTGTTGCTAAGACATCATATGTATGGAAACCATTTAGAAGTGGTGTACACCAAAGTAACATCTTAGGTCCACAATTTCTTCTCTGAGTCAATGGATTACCAAAACTGCTTAAGCTACCGACATTGTTGTCCATAGATGGTGTCAAAGTTTGGAGAACACGTAATGAGACTGATAATCGTAATCTCCTAACAAATTTATACGGATTAGTTAAATGATTCCGAATTTTAGGTTTCGAGACGAACGATGGAAATAGTTCACTAATCCACACTGGACACGGCAATGGTTACCAGCATAAGGATCAACGGTGAGTAGCTTCCAAGTGTGCAGAAACAAGAAGATCTGGGAGTAATAGTTAGTTATGACTTGGAAACAACTGTGCACTACTATTCAACAGCTTTCAGACTTTTGAGAGTAATCGTTGTTTTGCTGAACATTCAACCATTTTGACTAATATATGCTTCAGGTATTGTGCTACACCCACGGGAGACCCTACATTAAATTTCGCATACAAGCAGAAAGTTCACGTTATATTGCGGATGCGAACATACCCGAGTGTTCAGTGTGCAGAAACAAGTTTTTTCCTTCTACTCTCTGCAAAAATAATCATGTTGGAGGCCACCGCAATAAGGTTCTAAAACCAAGCTTCGGTTAGGGTTCCGTTTTTCCCATCCAGTGGTCGGCGACTGGTACCAGTTTCACCAGTGGGCGCTTTTAAGGAGAAATCAGATCTTCAGTGAAAAATAAACTCAAGAGGTTGTCATAGTCGAGCGGGCTATCATTCCTATTAATAACGACCGAAACCAAGATCAAATCCTACACACTACAAATATATTAAGGTTAGTTTTTCATACCAAACTATAAAATACGAACTATTTACTGGAGTATGTAGTATAATCACTCTCCGTTACTACTTCGAAAATGACAGCAAATCTAAGCAATACCATGAATTGGGAGGATTATTGTGTTCTATTGCATGTTGAATATTACATACGATCTATTTTTGCGGCTACCAAATAAAAAGCTGTACAATGAAAATATTAAGGAACACGCCGATCGGTGTCAAGTGAAACCTGCTCATCTGAATTTATATTAGGAATAAATTTGTCGTCAAGTCAGGATAAGCCTTGTCTTACCATTTGCGACCAAACACGAGACAAATAGTATTTATACAAATTACACTCACCAAACTGATGTATAGCGGAACAAGCGGGGCAAACTGTAACTTAGAAACATTGATCAATATCCAATAAACAATATATGTGCTTCTACAGTTTCAGATAAAAGTTTATGTAAAGAATGCGCAGTGTGCTTTTGCTTTCTAATTATCAGAACAGAAAATATTAAATGAAGGTTAGAAGGATGAAATATGCACTGAAAATCAATTTATAGTTTCTTGGACGTACTAAGTGTCAGAGCTCGATTCGAAGGAACATTTTCTGTAACACAGAAAACTAATATGTAATACTCGTTTGTCTTACTTTTTGTTTTATGCTGTGAAGCGTTATATGTGACGTTTTCAATGGAAACCTATACTTGATTTTATAGGCATCATGTTTTCATTTTATTCTACTGGATTTTTGGACTCTTTAGATGTTCCGTCGATGTACGCTTCTAGTTCCAGTGTCATGCAAATTATAATGATCGGATGACGTCAGATACAGACGTTTTAATGACTGGGGATTAACACACCTTCATCGAAACCGTATAGAATTGAAGAGAAAGGACGATCGTATAAACCAACGTAATTAGGTGGAATATGAGGATTTCTACTGTCGTTGAGAATGTTTTAATGCACAACTACACTACATGGGCAAGAAATATGTCAGTGCTGGGCTGCACATAATAAAGGATGAAATCTGAGATTCTTCGGAATTCAAGAGGCCGATGGCCCTTCTAACAAACAGAGCAACAATTTTTATAGGTACATGGAACGTCTGAACAATGTGAGAGACCGGGAAGACCAGTTACACAACAACGGAAATGAGGAGATACAACCTGTCAGTACTGGAAATCAGCGATACTCATTTAACTCAAGCTGTACAGCAAAGGCTAGATACGGAAGAAATGCTGCTATACCACGATCACGAAGAGGAAAATGCTCCACATACTCAGGGAGTTTCTGTGATGCTGTTCAAAGAAGTACGTAGTGTGTGTATAGGATAGGAATCTCACGGATCCAGAATCACCAAAGCATCATGCAAAACAAAGAGAGAGGTCATTACGATGAGTGTTATCTAGTGATATGCACCCACCAATAATAGTAATGACGACAATAAAGATCAGTTCTATGAGAGGCTGCAATCAACTATGACGAAGTACTTAAGAAAAAAACCGACTATCCTGATGAGAGACCTAAACACCAAGGTCGGAATGGACAACACCGGATATGAAGATATCAAGAGACGACATGGACTGGGAGAGAGAAAAGAAAATGGCGAGAGATTTGCAAACCTATGTCCATTCAACAACATGGTTATAGGTGGTACATTATTACTACACAAACGCATACGTAAAGCTACATGGGTCTCACAGGATCACACCACAGCGAACTAGATAGATCATATTTGTATCAATAAAAAATTCAGAAGGACAATGGAAGGCGTGAAAACTAGGAGAGGAACAGACATGACTTCAGATCATCACCTGGTTATGTCCAGTATAAAACTGAAGCTAAAGAAACACTGGACAGCTGTTGAAACAGTATTACAAAGGTCCAATACAGCCTTCCTTCGAGATACTAACAAACTGGAAGAATTCGAGATAACTCTCAACAACAGGTTCTACTGAAAGAACATGGAACTACTATGGGGTTGATAAGCAGAAATACGTTGGAAAGCTAGCGACGACTGAGGAAAAAGCTTCAAGAGAAGGAAATATGAGTAAGCAACATGACACAACGAAGAAGCTAGCAAGGAAATTTGGTAAACCAGAAAGACAAAGAAGGCATGACAATCACCGAGGTTGAAGAACAGAGGAACAGATGGGTCGAATACTTCGAGGAACTTTTGAATAAACCTCCATTGAATTCATTGGACATCAAAGTAGCACCTACAAACCTTTCCGTAGATGTCAATCCAACAACGATCGAAGAAATTATGGTGGCCATCAAACAAAAGAAACGGGGAAGCAGCAGGATCTCACAATATACGAGTTCAATCTCTGAAACTGCAAACATGCCCCATATTTTATTCAGGGAGATTTAGGAGGAAGAAGAAATGCCGGCAGACTGGAAAAGATACTTTATCAAGATAAAAAGGAGCTGAGATCTGAGTAAATGTGAGAACTACTGAGGCATCACACTACTGTCAGTACCAGGAAAAGTTTTCAACCCTGTTGCTGAACCGAATGAAAGATTCAATAGATGCCCAACTTCGAGATCAACAGGCTGGATTCCATAAGGATCGGTCATGCTCAGATCAACACTACGGATTATCGTCGAACAATCATTTGAGTAGAAATCGTCACTATACATCAACCTCCTCGACTATGAGAAGGCATTTGACAATATGGATAGGAGGACCTTACGGAAACTTCTTCAGCACTATGGAAAGCCTGAGAGATCGTCGACATCATACGGAATTCCTACGACGGACTACAGTGCAAAGTGGTGCATAGAGGACAGCTGACAGACAAGGCTGCCCACTCTAATGGTCGACTGGAATATGAAGACCTCGATATTTGAGGGGAAGCACGGAATACGATAAACAGCTCGGGATCAATTAGAAAATTTGAAATTCGCAGATAACCTGGCCCTTCTTTCTCATACACACGAACAGATGCAAGTGAAGGCAACTAGAGTAGCAACAGCCTCTGCATCAGTAGGCCTCAACATACACAACGGGAAATGCAAGATCCCTAAGTACAAACAACGAACACCAACCCAATCACACTTAATGGGGAAGCTCTGAAAGAAGTTGAAACTTTCACGTACCTGGTCAGCATCATCGATGAAGGTGGAGGATTTGATGCGGACGTAAAGCCAAGGACATCATTACTAAGATTGAAGGATATATTGAACTCAAAACAACTGTTAGCCGCAATCAAAGTCAGAATCTTTAATACGAACGTAAAGAAAGTTTTACTGTACGGAGCTGAAACTTGGAGAACTACAACCATTACCAATAAGGTATAAATACTTCTAAACAATTGTCTATGCAACATACTCAATATTCGTCTACCGGAAATCATCATCGACAGCCTACCGTGGGAAACAACAAACCAGACTCCAGCTGCAGAGGAAATTAAAAAAGACGTTGGAAGTGGATACGACCTACATTACGGAAATCACCAAACTGCATCACGAGGAAAGCCATAATTTAGAATCCTGAAGGGAAGCAGAAAAGAGGAAGACCGAAGAACACACTACGTCGGGAAATGGAAAGAGATATGAGAAGGATTAACAGCAAGTGGAAAGGACAGCCCACGACAGAATTGGGTGGAGAGTGCTGGTGGGCGGCCTATGCTCCTCCGCGATGGGTAACAGGTTTAAGGAACAGGGACTTTAACCGTGACATCAAGAGACATATAAGAGCCAACCCTAGCATGCAAAAAGGGTGTAACAGATCTAAGTAAGCACGTATATACCAGCTTATGCAACATAACAAACGCAAAATAATTTTGTCCGCTACGAAAAACAGTTCGAATCTTTATATATATAAATAAAACAGACCAAACTTAATTAACAAAGCTTAAGTAGAAGATACTAAAGAAGTAACGTTAGCATCAATGAGAAAAAACACAAGTCTTATTCAAGACGATTTTTCATATTGAACAGTTATATTAACCGAATGAATCCAACTACATTGAACTCATAAAGATCTGTCAATTTGAGTACTAAGAAAATAGATTAGAAACACAGATACACATAAATTTTAGAGAAGATTTAGGAACATTCATCATCTGCAAATTGTTATTGTCCGGATGGTATAATTGAAATATAAAGGACCAATAAAGAAGCCAAACTCCGAAGACTAGCTGTTACAGCAACCCACGTTTTAGACGACTGATAAGATGGACCATTTTCAAAGCCGGACCCAATTTAATCTTCATATAATTACGCAGTGATTCCATGCTAAGAAGAAGAAGTGCTTGGCCATCTATTTCCTGTAACAAAAGAGTTATAATACATCCACTTATTATTTTTTAAATCTTCGTACACATAATACAATATCAAATTTATGGATGCATTGACCACACAGTATATTTGCAGAAAGATACAAACTTTACAATGGAAAAAAGGTACGAATACTTAATGTATAACTATAGAAAACCATCATAAGTGTTCGTTTAACGACTCAAGAGCTAATGATGTGCCTTCACTAGACAAGTAAAGTCTGAGGGTTCTGACCGACTTTAGCTAATTTTATTTAGAAAGGCGAATAGTGCCGTTAATGCTCACAATATATATACTAATGCTTACTACCTATAAATCGACATACGGTAGCAAGTTCTACGTGCACCATAATGCAATGTGGTATGGCAACTCAAACCGATATACTCGTATGTCAGGTTCTACCTTGCGTATAACTGAATGACTGGTATTACAACTACTGAAATTAGATCAAATAAAGTAGTACAAGACTGAGCCGTGTCATGCGCTGAATTGAATACCGAATGGATGTTTCTGCGTTCACTATAATTGACAGAATTTTGTGTTACATTTTGGAAGTTTATTTTCCCAGTTATCTCATTTTCAGCCTACAAGCTTTTGATTAGGATCTATCGACGTTACAGATGCGCTAAACAAAGTAGATGTGATGATTTGAGTGAGTTGGTTTTCGGCATATGGTTAGATTTAGAGCCCTCGTTAAATTTCTTTTATCTATTGGTTTTCATCACTACCTTTGAAGTAGATTCTTCTTTACTTTTTGCTTCAGGGTGACTCATGAGTCAGGTGAGTAAACACCTGTGCATGGAAAGATCTTACCTCATCAAAATGGTGTTGGGTAGCCCGCTCGCAGCACTTCCTCTGATATTCCTGTTTCATCTTCTCACACTACTTTTCTTGTGAACACGTAGAAGACCGTCAGCGGGCGTTGTAGAAGAAATTACATGCTACAAAATAAGCTGACAGGCTAGTAAATGAAGAGACATCCATGGACTATCGTTGATTGCTGATGGAGTTGGTCGTCATTGATTGGGAGTCAAACAGTGAGCGAGTTAGTGATTCTCTTTTGGGCTGCGGAAATGGAACTAACTTGTTTT